TTGCGTTAAAAGGAATGATGTGAGGCACGGTCATTTCTGACCAAACGCTTGGCCTTAAATCTTGCTGTGCCTGATTTCTGGCATGTTGTTTTCGTAGGAAGTCCAGATATCACGGCTTCTCTTAAATCGAGTTTCACTGCATTTTTGCTTACTCTCTTTTAAATTGATGTGCATATAAATGGATTTCATATTCTTCAGTCTTATGCTTGAATAAAAGGCTAGCAATATAGCAATGGCGTGGTCTTACTTTTTTTCTTTCTTTCTCTTCTGTTCTTTGCTTTACACTCTTCAGTGGCAAAATGCAACGTCTGAGAGTAGGATTTCTGTCTTGGTTTTGTAAATCACTTAAAAAAATGTTTGCCACGGCAGATGCCTTATAAAGAATTCATTCAAATTTTCAAGGAAAAAAAAAATGTGCTTACATTTATATCTTAACAGAAAGGCCATCTTATGCCCCACCTCCTACCCCAGCTCCTGCAACCGTAAGTATAGTGATTTTTTTTTTTTTTTTTTTTTTTTTACCCCCCTCATTAACACAGATCTGGTAATACAGACTTTAATGACTTACCAGAGCAATAATTACAGAGTTACATCACCTTCCTGTGTTGGAAACACAAATAGTTGCATTTCATTATTAATATGATACGCATTGTTTAAATTAATATATCTTTTTTTTTTAAGCAGTTTGTGAAAGAGAAGCTGAATAAAGTTGTTTCACCTTTAAGGCTAGATCCTGCAGATACTTAACTTTCTGCAAGCAGTCAGTTGGTCTAACCTTATACTCACAGTGGGTTGCAACAGTACACTGGAATATTTAAGAACAAACTGATACATTTAATTCTAAAACTCCCCACTCAAGTTGTGCCCAGATCATGGGCAAACAGTGCATTTTTGTCATGTTTCTGTTGTATTGTGCTGATTTTTGGTGGAATGCAGGAGTATGCAAAATTCTATTATATTGGGTCAGAATGAAGGACTCATGATGACAATCTTACTCAAATTTCTTGAAATCACTGGTAGTTTGAAGTCTATGGCATGAGAAACATTTTACTTTCTAGTAAAATGGCATGGGGTGACACCTTCTAGGAAAGCATGAAAGGGTAATAGCTTTAAACTAAAACAGGGTAGATTTAAACTAGATCTAAGGAAGAAATTCTTTCCAGTGAGGGTGGTGAAACCCTGGCAGGGGTTGCCCAGAGAGGGGGTGGAGGCCCCATCCCTGGGACCATTCCAGGCCAGGTTGGACGGGGCTGTGAGCAGCCTGATCTGGTTAAAGGTGTCCCTGCTCCTGCAGGGGGGTTGGGCTGGGTGACCTCTGGGGGTCCCTTCCCACCCAAAACATTCTAGGATTCTGTGCATAAAAAGGTACTGAAATACCAGTGCGCTGTGGTCAGGAAAGCGTTTGAAAGCAAATGCCCCTCTTCAGTTAGCGTTTACGTTTCTAAATAGTTTGCATTTTAGGAGTAACATATTCACATGAGGAAACACAAATCTTTCGTACAGAAGAATGGGTAAAATGCTATAGTGAAATTTTTTTACCAAAGAAAACTTGAAAACTGTTATCCGGTAGAGTGTCCTTGATCTCTGCAGCTGGGATGGAAACTGCAGGATGGGGTTTAGACGAAATGTGATCCTTCAGATTTATTGTGCCATACTTTACATTAAAGAGGCCTGAAAATGATATAATGTATAAATATAAGTTATGGTCTTAAAAATTTATATAAATAAAACTTTGTTTGCATAGTTTGTTCAGAGTTTTCATTTTGCACACGACTTAATAGACTTGTGCCAGCATTAGAAGGAGTGTGATGGCATCCACTCTTGCAACTGGATCCCTGCCTCGAGAGCTATGCATATACGTGTGTGATTCCTTTGGGACGTAGCATGGATAGAGGTGGTGTTAAGCAGTGTGTATCAATGTGGTACATTCTTTAGTCCAGTTAGAAGTCTTCAGAAGGGTACATGAAAGAAATTTCAAAACCGCAACTAGTGTTATGCGTTACCTGTTTCTCAAGCATCTTCTGTATTGTATTTTATACAGTCCTTGAGGTGATAGCCTGTGCTCTGTTAATGCAAGTCATAAAAGTAGACAAATAACCTTGCTTGTTCTTCCACAGCCAGTTCCAGTTACTACAGCCAACACAATACCAGTAGTTCTCATAACTACAGTATTATAGCTGAAGTAAGAATTCTCCGTGTAATGCGAGGTAGTTCCCTTGTAACATTTAAATCCTATCTTGCAGAAATAAAGAATTAAGCAGACGGAGATTACAATTGTCATCTGATTTTACTGAAGAGGTGTAGCTCAACATATTCAAAACTTGTTATGGTAATACAGAAAACTACAGTAAAATGGTGTCTTATGAAATAGTGAATGTGTATGTCACGATCACAGGCATACAGATGGAGTAAATGTCAACTGCTGTGACTGAGTTTAAAAAGTTTGGCAATAAAAATCTGTATTTGAAGGCTGAGTGTTAAAGGATAATTTTACTCTGTATGTTTAGAAATAAACTGACTACAGTGTGTCTACATACACTTGAAAACCTCACAAGTTATTAACTCACAAGTTATTACAGTTTAGCTTATTAGGTTACTTTGGTTCAGTGTTTGTATTTGTCATATTTTGGTTCTTGGGGTCCTGAATTTATTTGTAGAATTCTGTACTGTAATCTAGAACGGGTCCAGTCAGCAAATCGCTTTAAAAGACTGTTGGAATATGCATTCCTTATTAGGGCCACAGTGCTACTGAAGAGTGGGACACTGCGGATGACACTTAAATGTCTAGAAACACTACAGGATGTCATGAATCCTACCACAGTCAGGACTTGGCCACAGTTACTATTAAATATTTGGTCCATTTTTTTCCAACAAAATTTGATTGGGAAGTGAGGGATAATGGAAGAAGGCAGGAGAAAGATTTATGTGAGGAGGGGAATACAGTGAACCTTCTGATACTTGTCTGTATGTAGATGATAGGTAAGAAGGGATTGTAAAGAAACTAGATTCTTCTCTACATTACTGAGGTGAGAATCGATCCACTTCCAAGAACGAATGAAGATGTGTTGATTAACTTCTGAAATTGTCTCGGATTCAGTGATCTGTTAAAACTAGTTTGTAGTTTCTAATCTGTAGATCTTATTGCAGTGGTTCCTTAACTGCCAGCCTGCAGCCTGCCTCTAACAGAAGGATATCTCTCTGAATTGTCCTCTCCCAGCTTTCTAATTGCAGCTCCCCAAAATATTTATAAATTTGCAAACCACCAGGAAAGTCTTCAGATACTGGTAGTGGTGCACAGATGGTGCTTTGAGAGATTTTTTTCTTTTTTTTTTTTCCTTTTCCTGTTTATTGTCAGTGTAATATTTGTTGGGAAGGCAGAAGGATGGGAAGAAGAGCAGACAGGGATTTCATTGGTATAGTAAATGTTGATACTGGGGATTTCTGCCCAATTACTGTGTGCTGTGTTGCCTTGTAAGCTTAACCTTTTCGATGCAAGAGTCTTTCTGAATTACTTGGTGGCTTATGTTGGAAAACTCTGTTAGCCGTTAGCTGGCTTTATAGAATACTTGTTTAAATGAGTTACACACTTAACAGCTATACAATCACCGACTTCAAACAGAGATTTGTAGTGACACATTTGCTTAAAATCCTGTTTCCTTAATAGGTTTATACTGGAGTAAGTTTTGTGTGTTGAGAAGATATCAACTGCTACACCTCATTTGCTTGTTTAAATTCTGGTTGCTTTTGCATGCCATATTGCAGTTCATTTTCATTTCTGTGTTTTCCTCGTTTGAGCTCATTTCTCATTCGTGTTTTTGTCTCATTTGTTTCCATCAGCAAATGCCCAGCACACCAGGGTTTGTGGGATACAATCCATACAGCCATCTGGCCTACAACAACTACAGGCTGGGAGGGAACCCGGGCACCAACAGCCGGGTCACGGTAGGAGAATCAACTATTACATCATCCGGCAAACATCAGGAATTGACCAGAAATGGCTTTAGAGTTAGGTTCTTCTGAATCTTGGCTGCTGCCGCTTCTTTATAAAAACAAAAAATTAGTTCTGATTCTTATTCCCCACCCCTACCCCTTCCCTTTCACTCTGAAACCTTTTGCAGGAAAATGGACTTCTACTCAGCAGAGAAAAAAATGTGGTAATCGTGTATGATGCAGAACTCCAAAAAGACAGCCTGTGTGGTCTTCAGTGACCACTGCGTGCTTAGGGAGAAGTCCTGTAGCGTGGGTACAAATTCTTGGAGGGAGGGTACGGCTCATTTTATTGAGGCTTATTGGCACAAAAATAAGGAAGAACATTTTGCAAACTGGAGGTCATTGTTAGTAGTTGCATCATACTATTGAGCCACAGGAGAGATGCGAGCCTTTATTTTTCTTTCCAGTCTTAGTCTGGTAATAACTGCAAAGTCCCAAGTTCAGAAATTGTTTTTTTCAACAGAAGTGTGATGATAATAAAATAGAATCCTTTCAGATCTATTGTACTCTGTCAGTGTGTGGAAAATGGATGTTGCGTTCATTTTTCATGGAGTAAACAAAGTGAGATGGAGTCAAGTGATGAGAGAGGTGACACCTTCTTTCAAATACAGATGAAGTCCTGAGCATTGGTTCAAAAAGAGTCTGGAAGTGTAACATTTTCATAACTTACACAACAGAAATAGAGTAAATCCCTGATTTTTTTTTTTTTAAAGTTTCTGTAATTCTCATAACTTTCAGGTTTTTCGTGTAAAACTTTCTATCTCGAAACATCTGAATAGTTTGGAACGTGATACAGAGAATTCTCAAGGAACAAATATGTGGTGCTTTAATGAAGTGTATTCTTTTGACACCTCTCTTATATAAACCTTCTTTCAAACTTCATATATGAAGTTCATCTGGTTTGTCAAAACATTTACAGAAAAGACCTTCCCCATGCAAGCTGGAACTTGACTGACCGTACTGTCTGAACGTATACTTTTTTCCTTATACAAGAATAAGTTAGATTCTGTCTGAGAACTTTCATTGTTTCTGTATGTCACAAGCATATACAGCCTTCTTTGCCATGCATATATCAATATATGTATGGTGTCTTTAAATTCCTGTTAATTTAAAAGCATTAAACAATTTCCGTTAATGTTTTTCAAATCCATCTGTGTGTGTATATATGTATACATTTTGGTAATGCATATACCTCATGCACATTATTTATATCTATACACAATTCTGTACGCATTGTTTCATAGAGCTCCATAAGTTCAGCAAAACAAAAAATATCAAGAGGAAAAACTTCAAAGCTGAATACTGAACGTGAGCCTTCGTGGCCAAATCCAAGTATTTGCTTATCCATGGCCGTAGTCCTGAAAAATCTCAAAACTGCTTTATATTTTTATGAAAATGCTCCCACTTAATATATCAGAACTCCTCGCATGTGTAAGTGCTTGAAGAGTGGAGGTTTTCAGAACAAGCTGTTGGCAGGGACTGTAACGTCACTGCATTATTTTCGGAGAAGACCCTGTCTGGTGTTTTGTAGATTGAGGGGACCAGAGGGGATGCAGCAGCAGGTAGTGCTCGGTGTCCTGTTTAGTGCGAGCAATGCGCTTGGCAGTGTACAAGCCTAAAGGAAGATAAGAGCACAGAAGGCTACGACAGGCTGATTTGTACAACGAAGTACAGCTGGGATACAAATAACGCGCACATTGACAGATCAGGTGCATAGGGCTGTTTTCTTTTTACAATGAATAGTTTAATTGGCTCCAAATTACCACTGACAAGTTTTGCAGACAAATATATTGCTAAAATGATTTGAAAATGGAAATATGTCTCTAACTTCATGATCTTAAAACTTTCTCCTTACCTTTTTTTCACCTGCACGGTAGCCACAGTAAATTTATCAAAACAGGTACAATAAATGGCTCATCAGAAGCAAGAAAAGCAACCTGCTGGGATTGGTGTTGCCGTGTGCTTTTCTAACCTCTGTGTTTCAGTTTTAAGAATACGGAGCCCTTTGGAGACTTACCTAGTTACTACTCTATAAACTTACAGATAAAAGGACAAACTTAAATTGGAAAAATATTACTGTGAGGACCAGCTCTAGTTAGTACCTGTTCACAGTTTGGGTGATTTTTTTGCTGATGTTGCTTGTTTCTCTTGGCGGGGAGGCCGTAGGAGGGTGTAGTTTGTTTGTGTTAACTGCACAAGAATGAGTGTTTTCCAAAACGAGTGTGTATAGAAACTGTCCAGCGATCACATTAACAAATGGATTTATTCGGTTCTTTTATAGGCTTCCTCTGGTATTACCATTCCAAAGCCCCCCAAACCCCCAGACAAGCCCCTGATGCCCTACATGAGGTACAGCCGGAAGGTGGGTATACAGTGTCAAACAAGTAATAATAAAAGTTAGTGTTTGTATGTGCTAACAATTAATTGCTATTATCTTAGTTTCAGCTTCTAAACTTTTACTTCTAACAGCCTGCACATTCTTTTAAGGGAATTGTAAAATACAGATGCATTCGTTGCCCTTCAGAATAAAGGCAGCAGTAGTCTGTTCATACAGTTGCCAATTTCTGGGGGGAAAAGTTTTCTCTAAAATGATAATTACTACCACTGTCTCTGCTGACAAGGATCCACCCTGCCACATTCAGAAGTGCCTGTGACTTACTGACAGAACTTTTTTATATAAAGGAAGTATTCCTTGCGGTATACTGGGCTTGGTACAGTGCTGTAGCTGGACTGAAGAGTAGCAATGAGTGGACTTTGCATGTTCTCCTTCACCAACCTAGCCTGTGGCAACGTTTACTTCGCTATTCTATGAACTGTTTGACAGAAAGTAGGAGAGAGACTCTTGTGGAGTCTGAAATCTGATGGGGCATGGGGAGGGCATGTCAGCCTGTCTGAAGCGGGTGAGCCAGAAGGAATTTCTTCCACTTCTGGTAAAGTATCTTTACCAGCATGTCTGTCTTAGGCAAAAAACCATCAACAAAAAAAAAAGTCAAGTGGCGCAGCAAGAAATAACACTGGCAGCTCTCTCCTCTTTTTTTTTTTTCCCTATAAAGTTAGAAACTTTTTTGGTGGAGTCAGAACTTGTTGGAACTCAAATTGATCAGCAAGACTGAAAAATATTTTGAAATGTTACATTCTGATCTGAAAAGCTCAGTGCTCTTTATCGTAATCTACTGCTGGATGTGTTTACTCAGTAGCATTTTTTTTTCCCAGAGATGCAGCGATGTGCATTTAAGAAGAGAATTAAGAGGGTTAAAGGCAATATTCTCATGAAACCAAAGCCATTTCAGCAATTGCCTGTTTCAGTACATGGCTTCCTACTGACTTCCTGCCCCAGAAAATAATCGAGATAGTTTAGCCAGACTCATTCCTAACTTAATCCTGTTTTTCATGGTGATTCCAGAAAGAACACTGAGATGACAATATAAAATGTTTAATTTGGAAGTATTTAGATATCATTAGTAAAGCTCCAGCTGTTTCTGTTAAGGTCTGGGACCAAGTGAAGGCGTCCAATCCTGATTTGAAGTTATGGGAAATTGGCAAGATTATTGGAGGAATGTGGCGAGATCTCACTGATGAAGAGAAGCAAGAGTATTTGAATGAATATGAAGCTGAAAAGGTAAATGGAAGAAATCTGGGATGTTTATTACAGCTGATTCTTCTAGGAACTGGTCTGAGAAGAAAAATTCATCTTACCCATGCAGTGGTGTATGAGGCATTCACGAGACCCCTGTATGTAACTTAAATGGAAGTATGTCCTGACACGTCTCTTAGATTTTTTTTAAATAACCGTACATCAACTGTGACTGGTCAGTTTTTAGACCTAATTCAAAATGAAGTATTTATAATTGAGTGTCGATTTTAACTGTTTAATGAATGGATTTGATTGTACAACATCAGTATTGAAAAGATTGTCTCAACACCAAAATCCTCTTTCAAAACTGGTGCTCTGCAACTACTGCTATTGTCATGAACGTGTTCATAAAAGACTTCCAGTCACGCAGGGCTTGGTTTTCATGGTGTAATCTGGTATAACTCCACGCTATGGCATAGTGTTTTGTTGCCTAATAGAAAAATGCTACCACTTTTAGGGTTTTCTTGTGGTTTTGTTTTGGTTTTTATTGATCTTCATGGCAAAAGATGACAGCTACCTCATGTCTAGGTTGGTAAGTGTTGAGGACCTTTACAAGACACTTATTGTGATCCTAAGGTACAAAGGGAAAATTGTCCAGCTGCTGTGTTGTGCTTAAGCCTGGTAGGCATCTGAGGCTGTGTATAACCTGGTCAAACCTGAGCTGTTTTTGTTCCAAGTCAATAGAGAAGTTGGAAAAAAAAAATAATCAAGGAATTCTATTTTTTAACTTGGTAATGATGTTTAGATTGTAAGCTCCTTGGGGCAGGGGCCATCTTGTTTATATTTTTACAGTGCCTAGGTAGAAGGATTCCAGTCCTAATCATAAAGAAAACAAGACGTCTAGGTATTTTTAACAATATTGTAGATTATATCTCATTTTTCATTGGAAAAATCTCAAAACACTGTACAAAATCTAGACTTGGCAAATTTTAAAAGTGAGATTAAAGCAAGCAATTCAAAGGGGAAAATACTTCAAAGGAGGTGAAAATAGCGATGCAGTCCTGCTACCAGGAGGAGACGGTAGTCTGGCTGCAGCATTCTGTATCATCCCAGTGCAGGGATGGATCAAAGAACGGAAAAATCGTAAGTTATTTTCAAAACTGGTTCATGAGATACTGGAATAAGGAAGGAGAAGAAATCAGAATCAAAGATGTAGTTAGAACTCCAGAGAATTATTGAGAATATTTTAAGTTAACTCGTTTTTTTTATCTTCTTGGAGTTTGTCTGATCAAAAATGCCTTGTTCTGAGGTGTTTGATTTTTAAATCTCAAGAAACAGAGCTATTGTAAGACTCCTCAGCTATTACAGCTGAAACGTACCTAAAAGCCCACCTAGTGTTTTAAAACATGAATGACTATGGAAGAAGTTCCAATTTTTAAAAGACTGAGAGAATGTGGTCACTTATGTATCAGCCAGATGATTCAAAATAGCTTTGTCCGTGTAACTACAATTTGTGTTATACAGACTACGGTTATGTCAAGTCTGAAATCGTCCAATGGTGCAATCAAACAATATTGGTCACGTTTCAGATAGAGTACAATGAGTCCATGAAGGCCTACCATAACTCTCCTGCATACCTTGCCTACATCAACGCAAAAAGTCGTGCTGAGGCTGCGTTAGAAGAAGAAAGCCGACAAAGGCAGTCCCGCATGGAGAAGGGTGAACCTTACATGAGTATACAGCCAGCGGAGGATCCAGATGGTAAGCAGAAAGGAATTTGTATGCACATCCAGTGAGACGCTCTCGTTACAGGACCGGCAGTGTAGCGAAACGGCCGCCAAATGTGGAAAACTACCAGTGTCCAACTTTCACAATGCTCAATGTGACTTCCTTTCCTTCTTGGTATCTCTAATTACTGATTTTCATTAGCACGTTTTATTTCAGACAGCTAACAGCTGACTTGTTTCCAAAATCTAAGGTGGCAAACCAGTGGCAAAAGCTATTTTGACCCTTAACTATGTGTGAAGTAATGCTTACAGTTCAAAACAAATAAGTCTGCTTAAAGCTCTGTAACAGCTTTAACATACGCATTATAAAAGGCTTAGATGCCTGATTTAATCCAGCTTGAATGGAATTTTGTGATTTTATTACCAGAAGTGCGTAATTCTTGCAGGCAGAGTTCTGGTATGATTAAGAGCACCGGAGCTTTGAATGTGTTCAACAACTGTCATTTGAGATTGTTTAGAAAATACCTTACCCTTGCTGTTGACAAGTTGATGAGAAAATTCTGAAAGTTTATTTGACTGCAAAGAAACACACCCCACCCAGTGGGAAGACTCAGACTCATACACCTCGTGTCTACTTTTAAATTCATGACCAAATGCTTGTTGAAACCTGAGTGTGAAAAATGTACTCAGTCAGTTACACCCTTTTTTTTTTTTCCTTCACTCATGTAAAAGCACACCCTTGAGATAAAGCTCATGACAAACAACACTTTTTCCCAGTGTGAAGTAACTGTAAATACATTTAGTGTTCCAGTGGCTGGCATTTGGGGACTTCAAATTCTGTTTTGTGCTACCTGGGCCAGGTGAACTCGGCCAGAACCAGCTGCACAAGGCCCCAAGTTGCATCTGTTTGCATTTGGGACAAAGCAGCAAGTTATTTTTCTGTGACAGAAATGCTGCCTCTGCCCCGAGGATCAAGAACGTTTAGCATTAAAGGAATCTTACTAAGAGGACAAAGGCAGAGCTTTAAGGGGACCAGTTTGCTTAGTACTTTGTCTCCTGCAAATCTACAGGCTTCCCACTATTTCTTCTCTTTTCACTTCACTTAATCAGATACCTCAATGAGAAACCAACATAACGCTTTGAAATAAAGCAGATAGAAACTTTCATTAAACTAGTTCTCTTCTTCGGTAATGTTTTCTGGCGTGATGTGTTAGGACTCTCTGATTTCTGTGAATAGCTGAAGAGTAATCTTCATTAGGAAAACCATGTAAAATAAATTCAACTTCTGGACTACATGGCATCAGTCTGGGAGATAATTGATACCGAACCACGTAAAATAAATTCAACTTCTGGACTTCCCTACATGGCATCAGTCTGGGAGATAATTGATACCTGTTGCTTAACATTTTAATATTCAACTAAATAGGAATTATATTCACAGAAGTTTCTTCTGTTTCCTCACCAATACTTAATGCTATTTAATTACTGTGCTTTAAATTCTCCCGAGTTTGACTTGAATTTTTTTGAGTCTGTTATGTAGGTAGGTCCTTGATACCAAAACTGCAGGCTGTGGTTTGATTTTTATTATGTTGAAAGTCTTTGCCTGCTTTCCTTAAAGAAATAGAGAAAGTCACAGCATATGAAGACTTCTGTCTTCTATGGGCTGCAAGTTTTTGAGTGCTACTAGATACAGGAGAACATTATTTTGTTCTGCTTTGTCGCATCAAACTGAATTTTACTTTTTAAGTGAGTACCTAGTACAATCCATAATGCTGTAGTTCACGTTAAGTTCTGTAACGAGGTTAAAATTGTCAAAGTTCAGTATCCTGCCATGAATTGGAAGCTCTTTTCAGTTTGATAGGAGAGAATAAAAATATCCTTGACCTGAAATATTCTTAGATTTGTAGTTAATCCTCTAGATGCGCGTCAGACAAGACAGTTCAGTTCCTGTTGGGCTTCCTTTAATTTCTTTTCTCTGCCAGCAGCTTATAAGGAGGCCAGCGCTTCGCCTATGTGCTCGTGTACTTTTTCTCCTGAAGCGTAGGGGTTTTTTTCAGTAACTGTTCTTTAGAGAACTGCATTGACTACAAAAACCCCTGAATGCTCCTATTACATGACCGTGAATTTTCAGTGTTGAGTAAAGATGTATCACTGCTTCATGCTTTCGTTCCTCAGTGATTCAAAAAATAAGCCTCTTTTAATCTGTGCTACAAAGCTTATTTACATGGGAGTCACTGTCCTGTTGGTGTTTTGCAATGGATATTGTTCTGGTAACGTAATTAATCAGGAATGGGTTTTTATTATTTGGTGTATTGACAGTCCCTCTTAGTCTGGAAATGTGGAAAGCAATACAGTAAATAAGGAGGTCAATCCAAATTTCAGGCATATGGGAAATGCGTGTCAAATCGTAGCTGCTAGAGCTGTGCCAGGGTAAAGCTGCTCTGTCCTCGTCTTGTCTTTTCTGAGCACCCAGTGTTCTAGATTTGTTAGTATGAACTTTGTGACACGACAGCAACTGGTGGGTTTATTTTTAATAAGTGGTAGTGTGGGTGCAGCGTCATTGGACTTGGTCCTTACTTGGGGCAATTAAAGCAAAAAGTGCAACCTTAAAACTCTTGTTTCAGATTATGACGATGGATTTTCTATGAAGCACACAGCCACAGCTCGTTTCCAAAGAAACCATCGTCTCATCAGTGAGATACTGAGTGAAAGCGTGGTGCCTGATGTCCGCTCCGTTGTCACTACAGCCAGGATGCAAGTTCTTAAACGCCAGGTTCAATCTTTAATGGTTCATCAGGTAAAGATAAACGATACGAAGGCAGCTAAAACATAATGGTGTCGGGCTGTACTCCAAGTCTCGGATCATTTGATCATCTGCGTGACTGCTCTTGTTGGGTGTCGGTGTTCTCTATGCTCGAACAGCTCATCTCTGGGTTCTCTTGGGAGTTGCAAGGCGTGAGACTTCACCTTCCTGGGCTCCTTAGTTATTGAGAATCACGTTAAACTGGGTATTGTTGTTCAGGGTATCTTAAATATTCCAAAGCTCTTCAGCATGATGTGTAACCCTTCTGTATGTAGTGTAAGTCCTCTGTTTAATAGGTGACTTTCAGGTAGCTTATGACTCATAATCTTTGTAACGATTCCTCGTTACCGTAAACTGTCCCTGTTGTAACATTTTTCATTGAAAGTTAAATGCATACAAGGAAATCCAGTGAGGTCACACTTGCAGGTTTTGCCTAGCTTTGACTGGGCACATGCCTGTGTTATCCAAACAAGCATGGTAACACCAGAACCCGTCAGTCAGCGAGCAGTAGGTGAAGAAAACAGACCAAAATGAGAGAGATTTGTTGCTTTTTTAAAATTAACAAAAGAAGATGGCAGGGGGGTGGTTTCCCTCCTTTCCTTTGAATTGTGGTCTTTCTCTGTTACAAATGTAATTGATGTGGGGTGTGTTTGTGTATTCTTCTGGGGTGTACAGTATGAAAGAAAATGCGTAGATTTTATGCTGGAAGATTCACCTCGAGTACAGACTGGTTTTCATTTATAATATGCCTCGCCAATCCTGAGTGGCTGCATGGGTGCGTTTATTGTTCATACTTTTCAATGCGACCTCCTTAGCTATTGGGTATTGGATCAAGGAGGGCATGGGGATGTTTATGTATTATATGGGTGTATTTTAAAATATTGGTCTAAATATTTTTGTACCTAGCTGGCTGTAAACTGTGCCCAGTTCTTCAGATGACTGCCTGCTAAGGTTCTTGCCATTTATTTCATTTCCAGCGTAAACTAGAAGCTGAGCTGCTGCAAATCGAAGAACGTCACCAGGAAAAGAAGAGGAAGTTTTTGGAAAGCACAGAATCCTTTAACAACGAGCTTAAAAGGGTACAACTCTCACTTTTCTCTGCTTACTCTGACTAGTAACTCTGCTTACTCTGCTAGTAACCCACTTGTACAAGTGCTCTGCCCACTTCTCTTCAGTCCTGTATTCAATTGTGTGTAATTACACAGCTGGGGAGTGCAGCGTCCCAGCGTGTGGGTGTGAAAAAGCGCACGTCTGTAAGATTTCATGCTCCTTCGGTGACCTTTAGTGGTGACATTCAGCCAGTACAGTTTAAAAGTGCCTTCAGGCTTGACTGGTTGAGTTCACTAGAGAGCAGCTCAAGGAAGGTGGCCTGAAGCCACGATGGAGAACACGCTGCTCTGACCTTGGCTGCGTTCAAATAACAAGGTTTAGGTTATTTATCCCCCCCCCTTTTTTTTTGGTTAATATGCTCGTATCTCCCCCCTAGTTACTGAAGCTTTTAATATAAGCTTTATCAAATCAGAGGAATTCTGCTGCATGGAGAAATACTGAACTCACAGTTGGGTTTTACTGATGTTCTGGGTTTCAGTGTAACTGGGGTAATAAAAGAATTTTTTTTTTAATTGCTAGTTATGCAGTTTGAAGGTGGAGGTGGACATGGAAAAAATCGCAGCTGAAATTGCTCAAGCTGAGGAACAGGCTCGCAAGAGGCAGGAGGAAAGGGAAAAAGAAGCAGCTGAGCAAGCCGAACGCAGTCAGAATAACATAGCAGCTGAGGAAGAACAGGCCGCTAACAAGATAGAGGAGAAGAAAGAAGAGGAGACTGCTCCGATGGAGACAGGTAACTGCAGCTGAAGGCCAGCGTCACAATCCTCAAAGGATCAGCATTAAAGTGTCTCTGTTAGAGGCTCAGCTTAGCCAGGAGGGGTGCCCTGTATTTTTGCTGTCAGTAGGAAGGAAGGCTTCAGAACAATGTTCAGGATCGTTAACTTCATCTCGGTGAACACAGGTGTTTGCTTGCTTCTCGTGAAATCCCCCCTTTTAAAAAGAGGGAGGATAAGATACCGCAAAGCCAGACGGAATGCTTTGTGTGTAACGTACCTAAGGGGAAAAAATGCTTTCGAAACTGAATGCGCCTTTTGGCCGCCAGTTAGCTAGGAGCAGCTGAGAGTGCTTCCTTGTCCTGGTGGCAGCAGTTCAGCCTGAAGAAGAGAAGACTGAGAGGGGACCTTATCAACACCTACAAATATCTTAAGGGCGGAAGTCACGAGGATGGAAGCAGTCTGTTTGCAGCGGTGTCCAGCGACAGGACTAGGGGCAATGGGTGCAAACTGAGACATAAGAGGTTTCAGTTGAATATGAGGAAAAACTTCTTTACTTTGAGGGTGACAGAGCACTGGAACAGGCTGCCCAGGGGGGCTGTGGAGTCTCCTTCTCTGGAGATATTCAAAGCCTGCCTGGATGAAGTCCTGTGTAGATTGCTCTAGGAGAGCAGGCTTTAGCAGGGGGGGTGGAGTGGGTGATCTCCCGAGGTCCCTTCCAACCCTTGCCATTCTGGGATTCTGTGTGCCTTCCACCCTGCTCTTTCTTACAAGCTGATTTCACAGAATCACAGAATCACAGAATCGATTTGCAGGCTTCTGGTTTAGCAAGGCACGTTGCTTTCTTGCGGCTAGACTTGTGAGCTCAGGCAGCTGCAGGTGACTTTCAGGATGCCGTGTGGTAGCAGCGTGTACATCCTGAGCGCTGAGGGGTGTTTCAGAACTGTGTCTGTTCCTGCACGTTCTAAAGAGAGACAGAAAGAGCTGCCATGGAATAGTCTGATCTATTACAGATTCTGTTTCTTCCTAAATTCTAATAGCACAACCTAAATAAATGTATTGGCATGTAAATGACACCGAGAACTCTCTTATTACAGAAGAGCCTCACCCAGAAGAGAGCACAGAAAACCAGCAGAATGGTGAAGAAGGAACATCTACCCCCGATGATAAGGAGAGTGGCCAAGAAGGGGTCGATAGCACTGCCGAGGAGGGAACCAGCGACAGCAACACCGGTTCAGAGAGCAATAGCGCGACAGTTGAAGAGCCTCCCGCAGACCCTATCGCTGAGGATAGCGAGAAGAAAGAATAAATATTGACTCATTTCATGTGTCTCTTTTTAATGAAGTTACTGGTTTGATTTCACAGTGTACTACGCGGCTTTTGTATCTGCCTTCCCTTACCGCTTGTCTCCCAAGGGTGTTAATAACGTGTCAGGTTACCAGCATAGCAGCTTCAAGGGGCCTTTAGAGGCAAAGGGCATCCCACAACAGACAGAAAACCCCGTGTGTCCAAGCAGAGCTGTACGTTACGGAGAGATCCTGTTGCTTGGGGGTTTCTCCCTGAGGGAGCTAGCGTTGGTTTGGGGTTTTAGATTGGAAATCAGCCCTTCTCCCTTTCTCCTAGTTATGCGACCACAGCGATAACGCAGTCGTTCTCAGAAGCCCTTCTTGGTCCTTTGTGGCTGAAGCGCGACGCAGACGCGCACCCCCTCTCCTGACCTGGCTTTGTGAGGGTCTGCCTCTGCCCCGGCACGCTGGTTAGTGCAGCCGGGATGTTCCTGCTG